GGGGGTGGGGGGTGGGGGGGTTTTGAAATCAACACATACAAACGACCTATATAAACAACATTCCGAAACCAAAACATATGATTCATTTATGTCTTCTATTTTTCTCTCTTCTCCACAGAATCATCTCTTTCTAAATTGAGTCATACCTGCACTCAAGCTACTAAAGATATAATGCAAGCCATGAACCAGTACGATCCGACGTCGTCTCACGACGATTTCCTCGACCAGATTCTCTCTTCCGTTCCTTCTTCTTCACCTTGTTGGCCAGACCTTTCCAAATCCTGGGACCCACACCACCACCACCTCTCTCCGCCGCTGCCGCCTAACCCTAGCTCCGGCGATGACCACCAGCCTCCTCCTTCTAATCCTCTTCAGCATTTCCAATATGACGACCAGTCTTCTTCTTTCCTTGCTGCCAAGCTCCGCCAGCACCAGATCACTGGTGGCGGTGGCGGTGGTGGCGGCACTGTAGCAGCTGCTAAAGCACTTTTGCTCCAGCAACAACTTTTACTTTCCAGAACACTCGCCGGAAACGGCCTTAGGTCTCCGACTGGAGCCTCCGGTGACAACGGCTTCCTTAACATGCTCGGTAATGGTGACCAAAACGACGGCGTCGGAAATCCGGTGAGTTTCATTTTTTTTTCCGCAGTAAATTCAATCATATTTATGACTTGTAAATGTTTTTAACAAATTTTCCTAATTATTAAACCATTAAGTAATTACGTCATTGATTACAGGCTAATGACAGTTCCGTTCAAGCTCTTTTCAACGGATTCACTGGATCTCTTGGTCAAAACTCAAGTCAACCTCAACATTTTCATCATCCTCAGGTCCATACACAATTTTACATGCATATATACATACAGTCTCATATTTTATTACTATAAACTGTTTAACGATAATTTATTTATACATTATTTTCGAAATTATAGGGAGGAACGATGCAGGCGCAGAGTTTCGGAGCTACGGCAACGGTGCCGGCGATGAATCAAACTCCGGCAGCAAGTGGTTCAGCTGTTGGAGGTACAACGCCGGCGGCACAGCCAAAGCAACAGCGAGTGAGAGCTCGTAGAGGACAAGCAACTGATCCTCACAGTATTGCTGAACGAGTAAGCTTTAATTACAGTTTTACCCCTTTCGATTTTTCGGATTTTTTACGTGTTTGTTATGTTCAGTTTTCTGATTCCGAAATTTCTGGGTTTCTGTTTTTGTGGGCAGTTACGTAGAGAGAGAATTGCAGAGAGAATGAAGGCTTTGCAGGAGCTGGTACCCAATGCCAATAAGGTAATTTCACCCTCCCCAAGTAAATTAAAATCTAATTAATTTTAATTTAATCATTAATTATCCGATCATTACTTTGATTAAATTATCATTAGTTCCATAAATTAGAAATTTAATCATATAATAAACTGTAACTGTTCTGGGTGTAACTCTACTATTTGTCGTCCCATGTGCCTGATGGATATCATAATCTTCAAGTGGACACGTGTTGAAATATTAGGGCGAGTAGAAAGTGTGTGAGGAGAATATTGTAAATTTGTATTTCTTTCCGTGCGTACTTGAAATTGAAACTGGAAAAGAGATTCTCCCGGGGATTGCTGATAGTTACCGCATCTAATCTAATTTAGCATTTGTTTATTGTCTGTTCATATTACTATAGCACAAATTATTCTCTACTCTTAAATAATTTAATAAAATTACCTTCACAAGATATTTATATCAAATTATATTAATTTGATAATTTAATGAGGTGGGAATATTTATTATTCCATCTGTTTCAAAAGTATGAACCTACTATTATTTGGGGAATGAAACAAGATTTTCTTATTTATATTTTTGCAAATAGTTTTTAATATTTCCAATTGTTAAATATTAGTATAATTTATAGTACTTTTTATTTAGTTTCTATGTATATATAAATTTTATTTTAAAAAAAATTTATATCTGAATTCACACTGAAAATTAATCAATTTAATATTCGTACTCCAAATAAGTTCGAACAAATTAAGATGGAGGGCGTCAAAAATTATGGTAAACAATGGAAGTTTATGTATAAACACATGTCAAGAATATATTAGTATGGTATAAACACTGTTGCCGGTAATTTTTCTCTAATAATGTTTTGCAGCCTCTGTTCATATTATCTGTATTTTAAAATTTTCGCACACCCCTTGAAAAAGAAATTACATAGCTTTAATCATAAGAGTTTTTATATAAACTACCTTTATTTTTATCTTAATTATCCAACTTAATTAATTATTTCACTAACTGAAATAGTAAAGATAAATTTAAGAGAAAAAAAAAAGTAACAAATATTTCATGTTTTTCTGAAACATCGAATATTTTAAAACACACAATTTGGCATTTGTGATCAGAGTGAGTATACTATATTGTTCATCACTTATTGTGTGTCGACATAATAAATTTTTGTGTGTTTTAAATTAATTTAAGAGAGAAAGTTAATATAAAATTGTATATGGTGTTTAAATTAATGGGATACTAACGTGATTGCGTTTGTTGGGGTTATGGAATGACAGACGGACAAGGCTTCAATGCTGGATGAGATCATCGACTATGTCAAATTCCTACAGCTCCAAGTCAAAGTACTACTACTCTCCGATTCTTTATTTTAATATTTTAATTTTGTTGTTTTAATTCTAAAGGATGCTTCCTTGTTGACAAATTGGATGGGAAATAATATTTTTAAATTATTTGGTGAATATGCTTCTTCTTTTTTTAATTGTAAAGAATTACTTTTGGTCAATTCCATGTGTTTTTGTGCTTCATTTTTGTTTTTATTTTCTGGTGTGAACTCAGGTTCTGAGTATGAGTAGATTGGGTGGTGCTGCAGCTGTTGCTCCCCTAGTTGCTGATATGTCCTCTGAGGTACATTATCATAACCCTTCTTGAAAATTTTCATTATTTTCACATGTAATCATTGAAATAATAGAATTGAACATTGCCAGCATCTTAGTTAATGTGAATAAAACTTCTTTCATCATCATCTTAATATTTGATCCAAGATAAAAGATGTTCATATGCTCATCATGAAATTTATAGAGACTTGGATAAGTTATTCTTGCAATTCACTAAGCATCCTTTTATTTTATAATCATATGGTATTCAAAAAGTATTGACCTGATTAATTCAGATTCGATCACTACCCCAAATGAGAAGTGCTTTCTTATCAGGAATTTCTCTATTCCCTAGGTTCGAACCCTCTAATTAAACAGTCAGAACCCCATCCATCCCAAATTTTCATGAATTAATCTTTTGTTTAAAAAAACAAAAGAAAAAAAAGAAAATGTGAGAGAGAAGTATCTTTGCGTAAGTCCTAAAAGGAAAATGCTCCTTACTTTGAAGTTTTTTCATTCTAGGCTCTAACTCAAAATTTCCATTAAGATTGTCTAAATCTTATTATCTCATCACACCCCAAATAGTTAGATATAATTACCCTAAAGAAAGTGAATACAAATGAAAAGGAAAAACAAGAAAATGTAGAGTTCGTCAACTTTTTGAGATAATAGCCAATGCCTATGTTGGATGGCTGTACCTATTGAGCTTTTCTATTTAAAGGAAAAACAACAGGAAATGAAAAGGGGAAATAGTACTACCAGAAAAAAGCATTACAATTCTTGAACAGACAATCCCCCCAAATACCATACCCCATTTCACCCTATTATCCTCTGTAATCTGTCTCTCTCAAATTCTCTGTCAGCACAATGCGACAAAACCAAAAAGTATCACGCGTGCCCACTTATGTTCCCCCTTCTGTCACTTTTTTCCAATTTTTCCCTCTCCTAGCAAAAAAAACCCTTTCCTTTTCTTTCCCTATTTTGGGACTTCATCTATTTTTTGAGAAGGAATTTTGAGACTTTATCTATAAACACGACATTATCGTTCAAGTAGTATACTTAATTTTATGTAAGCGATATTAATTGTTGTCTCAGTTTAATTCATAAATGAATTTCAAGTTTAGGAATATATTGGTTTTAAAATATTAAAATTAATCTAAATAGTTCCTCATCCAACCGTATAAACTAAAAATAGATACAAATGTATAATATATACATAATTTATGTATCCCAAATATGAAAAGTATACAATGAATTCGTTCAACTATTTGTGTGAAAATCCCTTTAAAATTTCACTTTCTATTTCATATTGGACATATATACTTTGTATTACTATTCTCATTCGATATCGCCATGTACTATATTCATATTATTATTTAGAAATATATATTTACACACATAAAAAGATTTTTTTGCTTGCAAAGTGGTGTCTGAGTAACACCTCTTTCTAAAGGATGTTTTTGCCGCTAATCAGTTTAAACTATCAGCATTATTTATTTTGTAATAGACCTTTTATTCGGACCCTGCACATAGCTAGATTAGTGCCTCGGATTGTTTTTTTTGTTAAGCTATAATTTGCAGCAGTTCTTCTTCTTATTATTATTATTATTATCATTATTAACGTTTACTTATAACTATCTTTTAGATAACTTAATCGTGTAATGTCATAAGTTAAGCTCATATAATAATTGGCTTGTTACAGGGAAGAGGAGAAGGAAATGGAGGAAGGGGAGGAAACGGAACGGCGTCGTCCTCAAACAATGACAGTATGACGGTAACGGAGCACCAGGTGGCTAAACTAATGGAGGAGGATATGGGTTCAGCAATGCAATATCTGCAAGGGAAAGGCTTATGCCTAATGCCAATTTCCTTAGCTACAGCTATTTCAACTGCCACGTGTCACTCCAGGAACCCCATGATCCCTAACGGTAACGGTGGCAACAACCCACTACTCGGCGGAGGAGGAGGCCCCGCCACCAACGGCGGTGGTGGCGAGGCTGGTGGACCATCCTCTCCTAACTTGTCGGTTTTGACTGTCCAGTCAGCCACGATTGGTAACGGCGGAATTGATCCCTCCGTTAAAGACGCTACTTCTGTTTCTGAAGCTTAAGAAGTTTGTTTGGAAGTTTTTTAACGGCGTTGACTGTTTCACTGACCCCCTTTTCTACGGAGAAAAAAGAAATTAAATGTGAAAATAGTGCGTGGCCATCAAAGTCAAGTCTACCAAAATAAGGGTCTTTTAGTCTTTATTTTTATCTTTTTTTCAATTTCATATGGAAAAAAAAAAAAAAAAAAAGAGAGAACCAAGAACGATGCCGTATTTAGGTAGACTTGGTTGAAGTAAGCTTAACTTAAGCTAACAGCAGGAAATGCCAATGGAAATTAAGTACTCATGTTACTTTTAATCTTTTCTCCTTAATGATGATCCTTTGATTTCCCTGTTCTACTTAAGTTTTTCCTTAATGGAGTATTGTTTTGGATATATATATTATAGTGATGTTTTTATAATAGATGATTATCAATAATTACCAAATCCTGCATACTTTCTTGATCGAGTTGTTGTACGTAGCTTGCTTACTGCGATTTACTTCTTCAATATGACTGTGGTTGTTGTTCCCTAATTTACAAAAAAAAAAAGGAAATTAAAAAAGATGAATTAAGTTATGGAAATCAAGGATGGGAAAAATTGGGTGTTTGATTCTTTCTCATTTCACGGAAAAGGGTTGACAGCTTTGAGGGTTTACTTTATCCTTTCTCTTTTTCCTTCTTTTTTGCGACTAATCTGATTATTTTAGTATCTCTGTTTTTTGTACTTTTGGGAATTCATTTGCTTTGCTTTGTGGTATTCTATTGAATTAATTACTATCGTTACGGCTAATAAATAATAATTAATTCTAATACATAATTAACCCTCCTTTGACTTTAGAGAAAGAATTAATTCTACTTTAAAGAAGTCTCCTTTTGCTTTTATAGGAAGAGAAAGAATGAGAGAGTAAGTCATTGTGTCAAAGGCATTGAAAAAAATTGGAATTTTTGGTACTTCATGATGTTTTTCTTTTATGAGAAAGAAGTCAAATAACTTTGCTTTCTTTTCAGACAAAAGAAGGGAAAATAATACATTAGAAAATTGACAGAAATAAAGTACAATTCCTTAAATTTGGAAATTAAAACTTTGCTATAGACTGCAATAGGTGTACTATTATCTTTTAAATTCTTTGCTTCTGTCGGCAGGAAAACATGCTTCTCTTGCTTAATATTCATGCAAATGTCTTAATTTATGATTTCTACCCCTTTTTTCCTGTTAGGTTCAAGTCTTACTTTAAGATATTTTTTATCTTGCAATGTTTTAGACGTATCTTCAATTTATTCTCCTCCTTATTTCATAAAATGGTATGAATGGACCTTGAGCCTAAGGACTCATTTGGCCATAGATTTTGGCTATATTTTGGTAAATTCCTAAATCCCAACACCAGCAATAGCTGTTTTTGGGCCAAAATATCACTATTATATTTTTTAAAAATTGCCTAGAATTTTGTATTTTATAAAAGAGCCCACCATTTATTATTTTGTAATAATGTTACTTCGTCTTCTCGGTTATCTGATAGTGTATCATTAGGTTCACTATAAAAATGATAATTTTGTACTAAATTTATTTATGTTCAGGACTATGGTTTGCGATAATATAATGAATGTTATTGATAATGGTATTGTTGGGTATTTATAATAGTTTTTAGAAGTTGTGGGTACAAGTCATGTTTCATGTTTTTCCAAAATAAATTTGGGAAATATGTTTTGAAAACTGATGTCCAAACACATTTTCATCTTCAAACCAAACTTCACTCAAATCAGATTTTTCAAAATAAATTTGGAAATCTATGGTCAAATGCTAGTTAAGTGTTTAGCTTAACCCCAAAAGTTAGTTCAAAGGGTGAGGATTGCCCGAGCAGTATACAGAGTCAAAGGAACTCATCCATCTTCAATGTAGGATTCTATCAATCCTCGCACATCCAGACCTGCCAGCTAGCTAGAGCGTGAACAATCTATCATGCAGCCTGCATTAGAGGATTGACTCTGGCACCATGATAAGAATGGACTTTGGACCTAACTCAACCTAAAAACTAATTCAAAAAGTGAGAATTGTCCAAACCATATAAAAATTCCAGAAAACCCATCCATCTCCTGTATGACGTGAGATTCCATCATAAATTTACCTATGGCTATTACCATGACAATAATATTGAGAATTAGGTTTCAGCGAAAATATTTTATTTTGAAAATCCTAAAGTTTCAGGGATCAAAATTTACATGTTAGCAAGAAATTGTATAAGGAGCCTAATACTCTCTATTGCGGAAATCATTAGTAAATATGCTTGGTATTTTAGAAAGAAATCTTATTTTCAAAGTTCCAAATTAAAGAAGGAAAATATATCATTTAATCATGATTAAATGATAAAAAAAATTATATAAGTATTTTGTATCAATTGATTTAGTACAAATACCGAATTAAAATAAATTCTTTTCCTTCTTATCGACTAAAAAGTTCTTCTCCTAACATTATTTCATACGTGATAAACAATATTCATCCACTTGGTAAGTTATATATCATTAATTTTACTTGCATGAAATTACTTCTACCCTCCAATTCTAATATATTTTCGTTTCTTTTCGTTTTCGTACTTAAATAAATTTATGAAGTGATCGGATTCAAGTTTCTATATACGATCCATTAAAGTCTTGAAATAACTGTAAAAATTGTTTCCGTATAACGTATAGGTCACAGGTTTGAACCATAAAAGCAGTCACTAATACTTACATTAGAGTAGACTGTCTACGTCACATACTTAGAAGTGTGGCCCTTCCTCGAACCTTGCATAAATACGAAATACTTTATGCATTAGACTATCATTTTTAATCACTTTAACAATAACAACAACAACGACCCAGTAAAATCCTACTACTGGATCTGGGGAGGGTAGTGTGTACGCAGGCCTTACCCCTACCCCAGTGAGTAAAGAGACTGTTTCCGAAAGACTATATGTTCAAAAAGACGAAAAAGACAATATCAGTACCACTAACAAATACCATAAAAAATTAAAAAAAATTTAATCACTTTTAAGAATTCCACAAATGGCATGGGACAAATTTTGACTGCTTCAGCATGCTGCTTTTAGTAATGGAATATGAATTGGACAAATAGATGGTTCCAAAATATAATTTATATGGCATGATATATGTGCTAAGTTTAGGCCAAGCAGTTGAAATATGTTGCTAAATGATATGGTCAAAATCAACTTAGTTATTTAGTCAACAAATATGATAACTTAATCACTTTAGGTCTTTGGCTTATTTACTTACTCTATTAGTTTCCAATACCTAATAATTGAGAATTATGATTGACATGATTGAGTTTTTTTGTTTCTATTGGGTAGTTGGTGATAAATAAACACAAAATTCCACTGCTTATAGACTAATTAAACTAAAGAAATTTTTGGAACATACCCATTTTTCTCATACTTTTCTTTTGTCCTTTTTTCTTTTTCTCAACTATGGGGATTGGTTGGACAGAATTATTAAGTTATGCAAAGTTTTTCTTTTTATTTTTGTTCCTTCTTTTTCCTCCCTTTTGTGGTGGAATTTTTGGTTACCTGCACATATATATAAATAATTTCAAAAATAGTTATACAATTTGAGTGAAGTTAGGGTAGGTTCATGTGGTTTGAATTTGAGGGTCAAAACATAATTTCAACAGACAATATCAAAAAATAAAAATAAAAAATGAGAACCGAAAAGAGAAAGACTTATAATCTAGTGATATCGTTAGAATTCTTCTACAAAATAGGTGTAGGTTTAATCCACATTATCTACTTCTCCGGGAGAAATTCAAAAATAGCCAGATTTACAATTGGACGTTCAAAAATAACTCAGTTTTACAAGTAACTGAAATTTAGCCAATTTTCATGTAAAAATAAATCTGAGCGAAAACACTATTCAAAACCCGAAAAATACGCCAGTATATTATATTGGAGTTCCAACATAAGTATACTTGAACTCCAGCATATTATACTGGAGTTCCAGGATAAGTATGTTGGAACTCCAATATAATATGATGGAGTTCTAGCATAAGTACACTAGAACTCCAGCATAATATACTGCAGTTCCAGCAAGTATATCGGTCCAGCATAATATACTGGAGTTTGGAGCACCGGTGCTCCAGTCTCCAGTATATTATACTAGAGCCAGCAAAGTATACCGGTCCAGCATAATATGCTGGAGTTCATACACAGGTACACTGAACTCCAGTATATTATGTTGGACTGATCTCTGTTGCAGCAAAATAGTGGCTATTTTTTATTGACTTGGTAAACGCTAGTTATTTTTGAATGAGCGGTCCGAAAACTAGTTATACCGTGCTATTTTTACTATTTCTCCCCCTCCTCTTTCCAATTTCTAAATGAAATAGAAATTTCTTTTTAAAATAGAACCTACAACAACATCTCAGTAAAATCTTACTAATGGAGTCTGGGGAGAGTAGAGTGTACGCAGACCTTACCCCTACCTCGAAAAGATAGAGAGACTATTTTCAGAAGACCCTTCGCTCAACAGAAGAGACAATAATACCAAAANTTCAGCTACTATGCTTAAGTTCAGCAATTACAAACAAAAACTTCAGCACACTTGCTACTTCAGGTCCGTGTTGCATGATTGTTTTTACTACATTAGCCCCGTATGCTAAAGTTACGCGAAAAACTGGGTACGTTTGTAATTTTTTTTGTAAAGCGGGCACAAGTTAACACGTGACCTAAAAATCGGGTATAGATGCAAATCCCATTTCTATCAAGAAATTTTTTCTTTCCTATACCATATATGAAACCTTATTACCAAAAATGTGCATAGTTTCTAATTTACCCGCCCTGTCCACATTTTTTCTACAGTTATTATAGCAATCATTAAATACTAATTAATAGTAGCTAAATCTTCCTAATTTGTCGAGCTAAAATTCAGGAACAGAATCTTCTAAAGAGATTTGGCGAAAATCAGATCAAATCATATCACGAAAATCCTTTATCTTCAATTTATAATCAAATTCTGTTCTTCGATATTCTCACAATCTCTACAAATCAAAATCTCAGTTCGTCGAATCAGAAGCTCAATTTCAAATTATTGAAATCAGTTCTGCAAATCTCAGTTTGTCGACTTTTTCCCTCAATCCACTAATCAAAAAAGCGACAAAATATTCAACAAATTCAAGTCAAATTGTAGAAATCAATTCTGTCGATTCTCTGTTCTTCGTCTTTTTTTCTTAATCCGAAAAATCAAAAAAGCGATAAAATATTGAACAATACCTCAGCAACGACACGCAATCATATCCAAAATCCCAATCATGCTACATTTTAATGGCAATTGGGATAGCTATGGCAGATTTAGAGATTTTCAAGTTGATGGCAT